GACTTTACCCCATAGTCGTTCGTCGCATTCAAATTTGACAGCGCTCTCAAAAGTTATTGTCAAATAAATTTTCAAAAAATGCCGCACCATTTAACTTAACCTCAAAAATTGAGGGCTATATTGGAAGAATATTGGTCTTTAAGTGAAGTAAAAGTTGCATATTTTATTTACGTTAAGAAACTTTAGCAAGAAAAATAAAGATTACGAAGACCTTTCAGACAAGGTGCAGGGAAGAAGTTCTCTAATGAAAATTAAGACAATCATGGGTGCAGTTCAAAAATTTCCAGTGGGGGCAAGTCTTATAGGCATGTTCAAAACACCGCAGGCTATAGTCGAAAGCCATGGCGAAAAAATCCTAAATCACAAATCCAGGAGGGGGCAAACGCCTTCCCTTGCCCTCGTGTGGCGGCGCCCATGAAGACAATGCTCTCGTATAATAAATTTGTCAAAATCCTTTTGGAACCGCTGTAAAAGCATGAGAAGAAACTTTATTCGCAGGATCTCTTATTATCGCCATACATCTACTTCACATTTCAGGACTTTCTTCAGCACTTTTTTGTAACTTGAAACATAATGTTTACGCGTTGTCCGAAATCCATGATACGCGACAGATACAGTAAATACAACCTTCTTTTAGCCGATTCTAGTGGCTCTGGACGCACAATATATCCCCTGTAGTATGCATCTCACTTGTCAAAGAGATGGCCAGTATCGGATTGGGCCGTCTGTCTACCGGTAGGCACTCGTTCAGGCAGTGGGCCCTTATAAAGAAAACCCCGTAATACGTGGCGACCTCGGAAAAAGCATCAGTGTGCAAAGATGACCTCTTTTGCTATTCAATGAATCGGACCATGAGGATAACTCTTGCCATATCCATTTTACTGAAAAAAAAAAAGAAACAGTATATTAAATTAAATCATTCGTTAGCTATTAAGAGATGTTTGTGACATACAGTGTCAGCTATCGAACGTTTTACAATACGTTTTGCTAATGTCCAAGTGAAAAAGTTAGCATTAGTCGAGCAGGAAAGGAATAATATTAACGCAGGCTGCGTGGGGATATATCTCGCCGTGTGCCTGTTCATATTGCACAGAGAACAAGGCAACATTCATATTATTTGTTTCCTGCTCGCGCTAATGCTAACTCTCTAGTTTTCGCTTCGATGCTAGCAAAAAGCGTATTGGAAAGTGTTCAATAGTCGCTACTGTATATAAATGCTAATGTCAACATGTGAAATAAAAATGTGTAGTTTAAATGGAAACCTACATCAAAAAAACAGGAAAACAAATAGAAAATTATTACAATTGAATTTTAAAGGTTGTTCCCACTGGAAAATTATTATCTAGGGTTTGGATCGGCCATACTCAACCTGCGGCGCAAAACTTTTATGTGCGAAAACGTTCATCGGTTACTGCGCTAAATATTTTTAAATGAAGGTTTGGATATATTTATGTTTTATTTATTACATGTCTCCAGTAACTAATTTTAAATGAATTACCTAGAAAAAGCTCATCATCCAATAATTGGAAAAAAGGTTGAGTATAGCTGGCTTGGATGATAGCCATAGGACTCCCTCCTTGAATCGTGCTCACAAGAAAGCATAAGATCTTCGTAAAAGTAGAATATTAGAGGTTATTAATTGAAAAATGAAAAATTATTACAAAATTGCGTCAAAATTGGCATTTACATTAAAAGAAGGGAAAAACTGAAACCGAAAATTGTTATACTTGAATTTTAAAGGCTTTTCTCACTGGAAAAGTATTATCTAGGGCGGGGACCCTTATATGACAGCCATAGGAATCGCTCCTTGAATTCTCCTTTTATGAGTGTGTTGTACATTTACTTTCCATATTAAATAAGTAAGAACTTAATACAACAACATAAAGCACAATAAATATCGCTAAAACAAAATTAATATTAATAAATGGTATGAAGGGGGTGGGTGGCTCAGTGGTAGAGTCTTTTCCTGCGGATCCCAGGTTCGAATCCCACCGTTGGCCGGGATTTTTTTATTTAATTTAATTATTTATAATTAATTTTGATGCCTTGGTAGCATTCTCCACTCGACCGTTCACTGTTGGGTTCTAATTAACAGTGCTGTTCCTAAAGTGGCGCTGGGAAACAGTAACAAAGCCTACACAGAACACGAGGCGAGATAACCTTAGCAGTTGAAGCCAATGACACAAAAAAAAATCTGATGTGTCCAACACATGACTTTCCTATCTAGTTATTATAGGCATTTTCCGGTTATTTTGTACAACCTATTGCAGCATCTCTATAAATGTTTAGAGGATAAACTAAATATATACATTTTACACATATATCTACCTCGAAACATTTTTCTATAGATATTCATTGAAAACGAAAATACAGAAAAATTTAAATTTAGCACTTTTCCATTACGGACCATTTTAGAAAAATCATGTATAAACAAAAATTATAGAAATCGATATCGCAAACAACTTTTAGTTCAACAATTTTCATAAAAATCAGAATTTTGCACATTTTGTCAAATTTCTCGAATACGGACCATTTCAGGAAATTTTGACATAAAACAAAAATTATAGATAATAATATTAGAAGTAACTTTTATTTGAACAATTTTCTTCTCCAAACATAAATAACAGATATATTCCATAAAATATAAAAACGGCCTCCCATAAAGTACCCCCCCAGATGTTCCAACTTTGTCCAAAATCTAATCATTTCACGTCAGGCCGAAATAAACCTTAAGTTTAAAATTTAATGTTTTTTCCTTTATCCGTTTTTGAGTTTTCTTCAAATTTCGAAATTTACACATTTTCTCAAATATCTCGAATACGGTCCATTTTAGAGAAATTATGTATAGGACAAAAATTATAGAGAATTATATTATAAACAACTTTTATTTGAACAATTTTTATAAAAAATTATGTTTTTCACATTTTGTCAAATTTCTCGGTTACGGACCATTTTAGGAAAATTTTGCATAAAACAAAAATTATAGATAATTATATTAGAAGTAACTTTTATTTGAAGAATTTTCTTCTCCAAACGTAAATAACAGATATATTCCATAAAATATAAAAATGACCACCTATAAAGTACCCCCCAGATGTTCCGACACTGCCCAAAATCTAATCAGCTCATTGGACGCTGAAACAAAGCTTAAGTTTAAAATTTGGTGTTTTTCTGTGTATCGGTTCATGAGTTATGCGTTATACAGACACACACACACACAGACATCATCGCGAAAATAGTCAAAACGGATTCAGGGGACCTCAAAACGTAAAAATCCGTCGAAAACTCGAGGTCGAAAAAAATCATGATTCCTATACTTTCCTTATATCTGTATACAGATAGGAAAGTAAAAATTGAATTTCGTAGCAGAAAAAGAAAAATATCAAAAAAATATAACTTGTCAATACTGACACTTCATACTTCGCTTGTCAAAAATTCACGCTCACGAATGAAAGAGGATTTAAAATAGAAATTTTTAATCGTTATCTGTTAAATTTTTCTTTTATAAGTATCGAAACGAACAGAAGGAGTGGGTGAGAGTAACGATTCCATCAGATTATTTTGAATTCGTTTTCAACCAATGAACGTGCCGATGTCAGACGTGTCCAAATTAAAAATGATACTAGCCACTCGACTGGCATCTGCGTAACTCAAAGCCATTTCTTGAATCCCAGTGACATTACTACAGGGGATATATTGTGTCTGGACGCTGACTGATAAGTTAGAATCAGAACGTGAACGTGTTCCAACTTGAAGCTACCTCTCTCAACGGATCAGGCTATAAATTACATCACATGGTTGTGGCCTCAGCAGTTGCTGCTAAAAAAATATATTCACCGTATTTTTTGATCACACCTCGTATGCCTAGATATTAATTTTGTAATACAATCTGTTTTTGTAATGTTATGTTCTTTTAATTTTTTATTGCACACATGTAGATAAGACCGATTCGACAAAACGTAAAAAGTAATATAAAAATTATTGTGTTCTCAATATTTTCCCCTCTTTTTGTAACACCACTGCCCAAAGCCAGGCTTACAGGAATGAATTTCAGTAAAAATTCCCTCCTATAGAATATAAATTAATAATTAAATAATTGGAAAATTCCGAAATAAATCTCAAAAACCCCCTACGAATTATTAAGACCATCCTCGAACCCCAAGGTTGAAAAAAATACTTAAGAGATTTACGATTTACATAAATTCACAATTTTTACACTCAGGTTTACGTCTCTTAACGTACATTGAAAACTTAACTCACGCAGACGAAGATATGGTCTTAGTATGCATAAATGAATTTCTCATATATCCAATGCTGTATAGAGGTATTTGAAGATTTGAGAACAAGCTTGACCACTGTCTGGCCCGAACTAGTACATCAAATTTCTGTCTAGGAATCTCGACAGTCAATGTCGTGATGGTCTAGAAGGAAGGGCTCTTGTGTAGCATACAAGGATGTCCGGGTTCGATTCCCGGCTGCGACAGGCTTTTTTTCAAATCTCGAAGTATTTGTTTTCAACTTTGGTGTTCGGAAGGGTCTTAATAATTCGTAGTGGGATTTGTGAGATTTGTTTCCGAATTTTCAAATTATTCAGCCACTTATTTCAGATATTTCTCTGACTTTGGATTTTGATTTTCGATTTATGATTTGTATAAATTCACAATTTTCAAATTAATAATTACACAAAACAAAATGTACCTAAATGTAACACATGTTATATATCACACTTTTCTGAATTGGAATACATTATAGCTTGCTGTTCTTTAATTTATTTAAAAAAACAACATTGTAATCTTTGTTTTCAGGTAATTCATCGCTTCAAATACTCGGCTCCGTTTTACTTCTGACTCTTCCTAAATATTAAAATTGTACTTCCTTCTGAAAATTATGCAATATCCGAAAACATTTTGTAACTAAGACTGACTGCCGTCCACGTCCTGTCGTGGCCTAATATATTTTGTTTTTAACTTAAGTGTATATAAGTAGATACAATAAAAAATATGGTCGGTCCAGCATCACAAGTCAGCAAAATATTATTAAGTCTGCTGATTTTTATCGTATGTTTCTACATGTACATGGATTTTAATTTATACATAAGGATTCACAACTATCCTTTAGAAAACGATAACGCTACATCTAGCAGCTATCAAGACGTCACTTGGGTTAGCTGCCATATCAATCCTCTATGCGAAGTAACTGTTAAAGCAGTCCTTTTAGATCATACTAACTATTACCTGTTTGCTCCTCTAGTCCAAATTATCGATGATGTAATGAAAATAAGTCGAACAACATGGATAACTCCCAATTCAATTAGTTTTTTCCACATTTTTGTTGCCATCCTAAGCGCTAAGTGCGTTTCTAGCAATAATTTAGCTTATCGGAGAGTGGGGGTGGTTCTATTCGAAATAAGAACTTGGTTAGACGATCTCGATGGGCATGTAGCTAGGGTAAGAAAGAACATTAAAGGGGAACACTCTGAAATAGGCTCCGCCGGCTATTACATTGACGGTATATGCGACGCGATTGGCTGTACGGCCTTTATTATTGGTATATTCATATTTTTAAAAAACAATCCGCCCAGAAGAGGATACATTCAACTGCCTACAACCATTGATTGCAAAGAACCTAATCTGGCGCAAAGTTTAAAGGTTACGACGAAGAAAGTAGTAAGGAAGGTGTGTTATTTCTCGTTGCAGCTGATAATAAGTTCGACAGCTTGGAATCGTTACATAGCTGTTTATCAAGACATGTTAGAAAATAAAAGTTTGCCTTTAGTCGAGACTCTGAAACAAGAGCAAGTTTTTAGAAGTTCGTTTTTCTTTTTGATCGCGTGGTTGTGGCGTGTCATAAACGTTCACAGCCTTATGCATTTGTTATTGCTTTCGATATTTTGTGATAAGTTATGGGAATTTCTGAAAAATATACAGTATGTTGGTTATGGTATATTATTGTCTGTTATATGCGTTACTGAGATAAATATTATTGATGTTAACAACTTTATTTTCCGCAAAGGATTTGTTACGAATACGGTTTGAGATTCTTGCGGGTGATATTTTTTTTTACAACCATATGCGTCGACTCATTCGTGTTCTAGACTTTTTTATGTCCTTGGAAAAAAGACTATTAAAAGAGAATCTTCTTACCGAACGAAATGAATATATAACTGTATAAAAAGTCTTATTTTTCGGTTATTTCATTTGTATTGGAAAAACACATTTATTAAAATTGTACTAAAAAATTAATTTCAGAAATTGAAGGCTTCAAATGTATGGTGTCATAAATAAGTCTGAGTTAATATCGTTCTGAGTAAGTCTCGAGAAAAACACAATAATAAATAGTTAGAATTACTGAATTGGTAAAAAATCTGGTCAAAGTTGATATCTAGTCAACAGTAAACACGCGTATGTTCGTTTAAATTAATTATTTATAAAAATTCCAGCCACGGTTAATTACATTATTGTGGCAATTATCGAATTAATAAAAGAATTGTGACTTTTTCCATGCTGCGTAATTATTAATCACGATACAGAGTCTGGCAAACCTTCGTCGTTATACCAGTACGGTATTAGGGGTTCACAGGGAATATATTCAAACAAACGACCTATATAACATAAAGATAAGATAAATCCATCCGCACGACCAGAGGCTGTCCACTAATGTGGATCCTATCCGAACTTCTATGCAGACTGACTGTCAGGGTTATGGTGACGACATAGTCATATTTGCCAAAGGCAAGTGTGAAAATATCCTGATACAGCCCAAAGAAGACTAGAACAGACCAAAATATGGTGCTGCGTGTTGGGAATTAGTATAAACCACACAAAAATAACACTTGTAGCTTGTAGCACCTTCAAATAATGAAAGAAAGGAGTCAAATATCTAGGCCTAACCCTGGACAACAAACTTCTCTGGAACATCGATGAGAAGGAATTAGCAGATAAGGCCACATCATCTGTAGTAACAAAACTAATTTAGCTACTACGAGAGCTAATACCTTAGAGGTACTAATACAGCCTAAATTTGCATCACCGGTGCAATGAGAACCTGTCCTACGGTCGCATTGGAGGTGATCTTGAACCTCACACCTCAACATTTAATGATAGAGAACGTCGCAAAAAGCACAAAATATAGAATGATCAGGGACAGAGTAATCAGACGAAGGTCTATTATCTGCAGAACCGAAGATACTTGGGATATGCCTCGAGACGAAATGAGAAAGAAGTACAGTTTTGTGAAAAATCACAAAAGGAACTGGAATATGAGTTTATGGGATAGAATTAAGTACTCTGAAAGTTTGGGTTAATACCCAAGCATCTTCCAGGCAGAAATTCATACTATTGAGAAGTGTATCCAGTTCAATATCCATAAAAACTATTGCAGACCAGAGAATACCATCGTGTCCAATAGCCAAACAGCCATTAAAGCGCTGAGTTCTTACGTAAATAGCTCAAAAATGGTTTGAAGATGTCTAGAAAAACTGAATGAGCTAGGCGAGGAAAATACAGTTACTCTCGCTTGGACATCGAGACAAAGGGGTAAGGGGTAACGAGATTGCAGATAGTCTCGCAAGGAAAAGGACTCAAACACCCTTTGTGGAACACGAGGCATTCTGCGGTATCATCAGTAATACAATATCAGGAGAAATTAAAAAAGAATTGGATGAAAAAGCCGATGATCTCTTGGGGCTAAAGCAAGATACTTCTGGGTGGCTATAACCAGAAAAGATCGAAAGTCTGTATCAGGTTACGCATAGTAACGGGGATTGCCTGCCCAAAGGACACCTTAGTAAATTGGGACTAGTAAAACAGAATTCTAACTGCGACTGCACGGCGTGATTGTATTGAGTACTTAAATAAAAACGTTGATGCGTCTAATTTATTATTGTGACATCGGGTATAGAAGAAAACATTTGTAAAATATTTCCTTTTCAATACCATTGATGAATAGATTCGAATGAATTCATAGGTCTTACAGGATATGAAAGATAAAATTACCACGTAGGTTTGTCGGGCCTTGTAGATTAGCTGTGACCAATGGCGGCGATTAGCGATAACAGGAGTTACTTATTTTTCTACTTTTCAATTTGAATTTTACATAAAGCTCTCTGGTATTTGACTGAATGATGCCAAATTCTTGCCCGCCATTTTTTTATCCAATCACTATCACTGACTGTTACTTAATTATTTTCTATATAAGTATTTTGTTTTTTTTTTTTTCGATAATTTATATTTTTCTTATTATTTTTTTATGTACTTAATACGTACAGGACATAATTCGTCTTTTAATAACGAAATAAATATAATTAATCTATATTTTTTTTTTATTTATAAAGTTATTTCCCTTTTCATTAAAATTAAGGACTTTATATATTTATATATTACAAAAGTATTAGTTTGCATCAGGTCGAGAATTTCTTGTGTCTTTAAAATAGAAATTTACTTTTTGAGATGGGAATAGTATGAACAGGACGCCGTTTCGTATTAACTATTATTTTTTAGTTTAACACAAGTTATAAAAGTAATTTTAAAAAACCGACTTAAAAATCGTGCAGATGCCCTTAAAAATTGAAATTTTTTTTAGCACAGCACTACTTATGTTTCGGAAACATTTTTTTCCATCTTCGGGTGCAGTCAAAATTTAATAAAACTTGGGGACGATTACAAACAGTTTAAAAACATTTTTTAAATATTTCCGATACATATGTAGTGCTGTGCATGACCGAATAAACCTAGGAATAAAAACTCGGGATAAAAACTGTACCTTTATTTTGTTGCAAGTGCAATATGGAAATATTTATATTAAGATTATGTGGTGCATTGAATTAGTAATTAAATTAACTTTCAAATAAGGTGTGGTACTTTATAATACGTTACAGTTTTTTTATCAAGATAGAGGGCGCTGAAATTGAAAGTATCGCAATAAACAGTCATATTTTTCACTTCTCCATAAAATTACCTCTTCAGTGATGTACATTAATTATTTAAAATTAAGGGGTTGGAGAAGTAGAAGGAAGGGGATTGACAGATGTCTATTTTAAAAATTTGTTCAATTTGGAATAAAAATTGACCTGTTTTAGCATTTTCTTAAAATCCAATGAATAATGCCGAAAAACAGGATAAAACTGTTTTGAGTGTCCCACTCTGTATATCAAAAATGGCTAAATTTATCGAATTAGCTTATAGAACAAAATCTGCTTACAAATGAATTTTTTACAAGATGCGTTATATAAGAAAGATCCTCTCATCGAAAAAAAAAAAAAAAAAAAAATATTGAACGCAGCCCCATCTACATATTGACCTATTTAAAGTTAATTTATATCTAAAACTGAAGCTCTCTTAGCGTTCTATGAACTGGCTGTTACATAATTAAAATATCTCTATTACCAAAATATCCGGCCTGGGAGTTTTTATTGGTATATATTCCGGCGATTTGAGAACCTCCTCCTTTTTTAAAGTCGGTTAAAAATGAGTATGTTAACACCGAAAAATCAAGATGCAGATGGAAAACAATGCTATTGAAGTAGGAACTGTCAAAAGATTATTAATAATTTTAACTTGTCAAATAATTAAAATTTAATAAACTTTATTGTGTATTAATTAGTTAATAAAATGATGTAAGAGGTACCTTTGTACTTCTAACAAGACTAATAAAATGGAGCTCAATCAAATGTATACACTACTTGGGCAGTTCTTCAACAACACGATTCCAGAATAGCTTAGCTCTTCTGCTCCCAGGTCGATCCGACTTCAGTCCGATTTACAAATAATATGGACCTTATTATTAGTTTTTTAATTTTAGTTTACAACCTATGGTTTGCGTCAAACAGTAGAAACAAATAAAAGTCTCAATTAATACGGAAGATCTGGGACCTATTTCATAAAATTACTTTGCAACTTTTCACTTTGCACTTTACAAATATACGAATGCAAAATTCTTGTGTTTTATAAAATAATGTCGTTATCTTTGCAGATTATTAATTTTTTATTTTCACTTTGTAAATTTCTTTTTAAATTTTACGTTTTAAATCGTCAAATTACTCTTTTATGGAACATAAATTTACTAAAATATGCAAAGTAAAAAGTTGCAAAGTAATTTTATGAAATAAGCCCCAGGTGTGGAGCTTTTAAGTGGCCCTTTAAGGTATATACTCACATCAAAACATGTATTTCTTAACTTTAATGACACAGGAATAAACTAAGTCATCGCGCGAATATACAGTCCGAAATCTTATTCTGTTAATTAAAATGTTAAATTGAACTACATACAATTAAACCATTTAAATCTGGCTAACTTCTTTGCTTCATTTCAATTTGCTCCCCATTTTTCCATGTTTCGTTGATCTAGCTCGTATGTTTTTATTTTTATTGCTTCTCTAAGTAATTACTGTATTTAATTTACACATAAATTCTATATCATTAACGTTCACTCCAAGACCAATTTTCGGGGGTGCGGGACTTTGCCGTTAGCTATTCCCCTTTTAGCATCTTTTTTTGATAAAAGCCTCATGGATTCTAAGAATTTTCATCTCATGGCCCCCCAAAGACACCTCCCCCCCACCCCCGGAAGCGACTCTTGGTTCACTCTGTATTTAAACGTATACTGATTTTCGAATCTTTTAATATTTAAACACACATAATTTTTTTGGGGGACAGGCACTTTTTTACTGAAAATGAGTCGACGTCGAACCTTGATAACATAAACATTTGAGATTTTTTTGTAAACGTTAATCATCAAAACATATCTTCATTTTCTTTTTTTTTTTAATGGTAGTTACAATAATTCAAAACAATTACGCCAAATATTTACAATTACCAATAACAGAGAAACAAAAATGTTAAAGGAATATTGTAGTGGACTATTTTTGTAATACCGTATCTAATATTTTTAATAAAAGGTTAGGTGCCTTTAAATTAAGAGTGATCTATTGATGTTGATATGGAATATACAAATTTTATATCTATATTGTGTGCATTTGTGGGTGACCATTAGTAAATATATAATTAAAAAATATTTTTTTTTTATTTATTTCGAAATT